AAGCTTCTAGATGACTTGTTAGTTTACATTAAAACATTCTAATTAAAAAAAAAAAACATTTTATCTATTGCCCCCTCTGGACAATCCTCCTATGTCATAAGCTGGTGACGACCATTTTAGTTTATACATAAACTAACTTACGCCCTTGAATTAAAGAAGAAAACAAAAATTAAGTAGCCTATGCGTTCTTCGAGACTATCCCCTACATCTGTAGCAAATTTCATCCAAATCCTTTCAGCAGTTTAGGCCACAAACTCTAACAAACATCCATCTATGTAAACTTTCGCATTTATAATATTAGCATGATGTGTAAGATCGTTCTAAACAATATTACAAATGTAACATTTATCAGTCGGGTAAAGTATCAGACGGTTTGTCTCCAGATTTAGGATTAACAGAAGTGAGGGTCCCGTAGCAGAGTTATATATATTTTGTATGATAGCGTCGCGAAAAGGGCTAATATCAAAAGTTGAAATGCATAGATTAGACTACATATAGACATACCAAGATGTGTCTATGCCTAATATTAATATACTAAGAGTGTTGAAATTGTTTTTATACCTACACTTATTGAGTTACTGGCAACATGAAACAAAAAAAAAAACATGAATTTTAATTGATTTATCAATCGTAAACATAAAATAAATGAATAAAATCTAATATCGTTGATGAAGTCTTTATTTCAATTAAGGAAATTATACTCTAGGATATCTTACAGATTTACGCAGATAGTAAAATTAAAAACATCATAATTTGTAAAAAAATGACAATAATATTCATAGACTATAAAACTAATTTGACCATTCAGTTATTAATTAAGCGCGTGACCTGTCTACGCTCGATAGCCTTTGCCCAACCGAATTGTAGACAAGGATAGACTATTACTGCATCGCACGCGTGCGAGCGGGACAGAGCGACTGGATACTTTCGGACCACCCAAGTCGCCGTGCGGTATTCATACAATGCTTTCTGATTACGTATTGTGATTCTTGATCGTTTAATTTTCATGTTTTTATTTTTTTATCTACGCTTCGTATTTTTCGCCTTCGATTTATTTATTCGATTGTATTAGATATTGTCAATTATCATGTTACAGCTCGACGTGTTCCGAGTATTAAAACCAATTAGCCGTGCTATACGAATAATAGATTATGCTTACGCGTGCCATAAAAAATATAAAAAATAACCAATTAAGACTATCTGTTTGTAATTATATTTTGAATTTTTATTATAAATTATTATTTCAATTTATTCATTATTAAATATATTTAAAAAAAGATCATTTAATCTTATTTTAAATTCACAGACATAAAAATTTTAAATAACCAAAGTACCAATAATATTGGTCGCGGTATATCGTCTGGTAATAGTCCGAGAGCTTTGCACCAATACATTTTTTGATCAGAACCAATGATTGTGTTGCTCTATACACGAACGTAGAGAACATACGGACTGAAACTATGCACTAATTTTACTTTTATCTTAACAAATAGATTACTTCTTTTTCTTAACTATGGGCATCGCCAAGGGGAGAAAACATGGGTCAGTTGTCACCCCTAGACAGTTGAAATAATTAAAATAAATATTAAAACTTCAAATAAAACTGTATTAATGGCTGTAGTAATATTAAAAATACACGAAAATGTATTTAAATCTTACTAATATTATAAATGCGAAAGTTTAGATGGATGGATGTTTGTTAGCCTAGACGGCTGATCGGATATCGATAAATTTGGCATAGATGTAGAGGATAGTCTACTCAGTTTTGTCTTTTTTTAATCTCATGCGGACGGAGTCGCGGGCGAAAGCTAGTTAGCTTTAAAATTACCCTTTATTTAATTAAAAAATCTGTTCATGTAGAGTATGAAATTTGATTTAAAGTTCAGTATTTGGGTCCGTATGTTCTCCAAGTATTTGTTTAACGCCTCTTCATAAAAGAATAGTGGGCCCTAATAACTTTTATGTGAGTTTCGATAATTTGATTGATGTGGTAAGTGTTTGTTTGTCTGTACAATGTTTTGTTTGGTTGAGGAATTCGGCGAACACTTCCGGGGACTGTGGCAGTTTGTTAACATTACACTGCTCTAGTGGCGCCACTGGCGGTAGCGTTTTAGGCAACATAATAGTTTATTCCAGGGCTGACCAACCTTAATCTATTCAAGGCAAAAAATACAAACATGTAGACTATAGAAATACCTACTTTTTTATCTTATTTATATTATAAATGCGAAAGTTTAGATGGGATGCTAGTTAGAATTTGTAGCCTAAACTGCTTAACGGATCTCGATGAAATTTTGCATAGATTTAGAGGATAGTTTGGAAAAACACATACCAACTTTTGTTTTTTTTTAATTACTCGGATTTCACGGGCAAAAGCTAGTATTATCATGAATGTCGGTCTGTCCTCGGCGGTATTTCCAAACCAATACGACTTAGGGTCCTTCAAGAAGCGAGCCTATCAATTTCTTCAAAGGCCGGCAAGTAGTAGTAAGTAGTTCCTCTGGTTTTGCGGATGTCCATGGGCGTAGTTGACCACCTCTGCGTTCCTGCCCCTGGTTTGCCCCTTTTCTTATAAAAAATGTGCAATGAATTTTTTTTTATTTAATTTATAAAAAAGACTATTGCCCACGACTCCGACAGTACGGAATTGAAAAATGGTATTTCTCTATATGTTGTTCTTTCACCCACTTTTATATATTCTTTTAACCAATAAAAATACTATTTAACTACCTAGCTTGGTCGACTTTTATGACTTTTAAACAATAGGTAGTCTAGAAAGTTCCCACGTATTTTATTTTCTACTATTTAATGTTCATACATAAGAACATTAAATGTTACATAGGTATATTTTGTTGAAAAAGATATATAAAAAAAACAACAGTTTCGTAAACGGTAAAATTTTTTGTGGTTTAAAGAATGTCAATGAAATTTGACTGCAAAAACAAAAAAAATGCTATATAAAAACCTCATTAAACAACAAAAAAAACCCTTTTTTTTAAATTTCATGAGATAGCTTAGCGTGGCATGGACATGTTATGCGACGAAACGATGGAGACATAAACCAGAAAGTGATAAAATTGAATGTGGATGGTTACAAAGGAAGAGGGAGACAGAAGAAAGTATGGATGGATTGTGTGAAAGAGGATATGCTTAAGAAAGGAGTGGATTCAGGTATGATGGCTGATTGAGATGTATGGAAGAGCAGTATACTGTGCCGACCCTCCATAAGGGATAAGGGCAAGTGGATGATGAGTCGACCATGTTTGTGTTTTGTTAATGGAAACTGTTTTAAAAACATTGCAAATGTCTTACTAGCACATTTGTATATTGTATAGAAATTCAACGTTAACTTAATACCACTTACCTTATACCAGTTACCAGTTGTTTCAAATTGTCACAAATCTTACAAAATACCCAACCAAGAACTCAACTAATTGGCTCAGATATGCAATACAATCAAAACGCAAAGCTTTAATTAAAGAAACCTTTTAACTATATAAAACAGAGTGAACTTTCAAGCAAATCCGTGGTTTTGAAACTAAACAGACTAAGTAAGTAGTAGTTTCGTTAGTGTATTTGGTTCGATAACTTTATACATTTCCGAACTACGTAACTTGAGTTTTACTACGTTAAAACTAATTTCAAACAAACACTAATAATTCACTAGGTAATGACAAAATAAGGGGAAATTTTACAAAGCCAGAATAAGACTTAACGGATCTCAATTAAATTTGGCACAGTACAGCATACCCTGGAAGAATATTTAAACTATTCAGCAAGTCTTTTTAAATTCCGCCCAGGCTTTAATACCTATATCAAAAAGTCTTATGAAAGTTTTAGGGCCAGTCCCACCACTGGCTGATAGAAGCTCTGATATCTTAAAAGTGACATCACTGCTAAAATATAAAAATCCGATACTTTCATCACATTTTATACGTTGGATTGTTTTTTTTTTATTAGAAAATATTAGTAGATTTTTGTTAATTTACTAATATTTCCTTTAACCAATTCAACTAAGCTCTAGGCTTGTGCTAGATGAGGTTCACGACAATAGTCGAATGGGGAGATTCGAACCCTCGTCCGCAAAATCGGTAGTCCGTACCCCAAACCATTAGGCTATTGGCGCTTTATCTGTGGGACAGGCCCTTAATGTTACATTTTAAACTAGATACTGAACAAGAATGTGCAATGTCTTGAAATAATCTGGAATGTTAGTAAGTAACCAATATATATTTCCACCATTCTTAATTCCCATACAATGAGTACTTAATCGTAAGCAATGCGTTCTTCAGACTTTTAAGGAATTACGTTTCCAAAGTTAGGTCGGTCGTTTTCGCCAAATTGTGGACAACATTTCTGTTTAAAATGTAAACTGTTAAGTTGCGCTACAGCCTACAAATTACAGTTTACTTCAATCTATAAGAAAATACTAATTCTTCAAGTTGCAAGCTTTGCAAACTGTTCGTGTATGGCGAACAACATCTCTTAACACAGTTATAATTCCGTCTATAGCAGTCCTATATTTTAACATAGAAAAATTAATTCAAGAAGCTTAAGAACGCGCGCACACTTTTGACTCAACTATCGCTTATAAGGAGTACACTACTCGCTTTTTAGTTTGGCGACGAAATAATTACAGTCGCAACAACAGTGCGATAGTTTAGTCAAATATGAACTGAACTATCTAATCGCTCTACGATCAAATATCCTCCCCATAGAATCTTAGGTTTAGCTATAGCCGAGTTTCGTCATCGGACGACACGACAGACTGCCAGGTACCATCCTCACCATCTCGATGGCTGGCATTCCACAACCGTGCGGTTTTCGCGGAACTTTCTGCCCCGCACAGCCGCGTTGTGGAACGGTCTGTCCTCGGCGGTATTTCCAAACCAATACGACTTAGGGTCCTTCAAGAAGCGAGCTTATCATTTCCTCAAAGGCCGGCAACGCATCTGTGGTTCCTCTGGTGTTGCGGATGTCCATGGGCGTCGTTGACCACCTTGGTGTACACGCCGCTCGTTTGCCCCCTTTTACTATAAAAAAAAAAAAAATATAAAAGGTCAATAAGTACTTACTTACTTTACTTGATAATTCATACAAGAGTTCACTTTAACTAATGACCTAGGATGGCGTCCGTATCCCTGTCGTCTCCGTGCCGTAGTCCCTGTATCCGCGCAGACTCCGTGTCGTGGTGCCTGTATCCGCGCAGACTCCGTGTCGTGGTGCCTGGATCCGCGCAGACTCCGTGTCGTGGTCCTTGTACCCGTGGAGTCTCCGTGTCGTCCCCGTGTCGTGTCCGCTTCATCCGAGCAGTCTCCGTATCGTTTCCATGTCGTGCTATGCAAACGTTATTAATGTTATTAATATTGCTCGTTTATTGCTCCCGGGATGTAATATGGACATACCTCACTATAAGTAGATAATTTTTAACGCACTCGCATGCAATTTATTTTGTAACTATGTTAACATAATAAAGCTGGTATTTTTCTTTAATAATTTATCTAAAGATTGATATTTTTTTTTGTATTAAAGGAAAGCAAATGGTTGGAAATTATTAACATAATACTAAAGATGCATATTCTGTAAGTACATCTTCATATGCCTTAAGTCAAAATCACTATATCTTTTTTCAATATTAACTACCGCCTTCGTACAGTTAAAAGGTGTAGAATTAATATGAGAAAACCATATTAATACGTCTCTAACAAGCAAAACCTGAGGGCAACAATATAAATAAAATAATGTTCAGTCGTATCCACGTTACCTTACAGTATCGCTGTGGCGAGCGTCGTGTGTGGTCCCCGGCAGCTCCACTCGGGGTATTTCATTAACAACACGGCGCGGCTCATCTCTGGCTCGCGACTCGCGGCTCGCGGGATACATTCTGACTACAAACATTCTTATGTGAATCTTGTTGGAGATTCGATAACACGGGAATCGTTCTGATTTCGCGCCATTTAAAAGTTAGGTTATGATATTAATTTAATATTTTTTAAAATTGTTTTTTTTTTAATTCAATGTCACCAATATTATAAATGAGAAAGTTTAGATGGATGTTTGTTACGTTTCTCCAGAACAGGTGAACGGATTTCACTGACATTTGGCACAGATGTAGAACATAGTCTGGAAGAACAAATAGGCTAATTAAGTTAGCAAAGACGGAGTTCGACCAACAACTAATCTTACTAATATTATAAATGTGAAAGTTACGATGGATGGATGGATGTATGTTAGAGTTTGTAGTCTAAACGGCAGTACAGATCTCAATTAAATTTGGAATAGACGTCGAAGGTAGTCTGGAAGAACACATAAGCTCACATTTGTTTTTTTTTTAATTCCACACTGACAGAGTCGTGGGCAAAAGTTACTTGATAATAATATAAAAAAAATATATATTGATTTTAAATATGCCTGCGTCTCAATATTTGAGTTGGACAATGTGTTAATTAGACAAGCTGCAGTTATCCAATCAAGGGTTTACTTCTGGATTCTGTAATAGACATTTGGTTGTTACGCGTTAAACTCCTGTAAACTTCACTTCACATAAACAAAGTTAAAACAAAAAAGAATTTACTCCTGTTACAGTTTTCTAATTATCACCAATTGTCTGTTTGTCCGTCGAAGTGTACCGATCATGATCAACATAACAACTCCACAAATATTGTAGTTTTTCATATAAAACAAAAAACATAACTTTACGCTTACAAAACTAACTAACAAAGGATAAAACCACTTTTACAACCGCAAATATAAATTTGTCAAAGTACAAAGTTATATTTGCTGATGATAAAGAAATGTTTCCTTCAATTTTCGGTTTTGAGGTTATTTTTAGAGTTGTAAATGTATTGTTGTTTAGTCGGTGTTTAAGTACAAATGTTGACGTAAGTAATAGTAACGCATTGTAAGGGGCTGTTGTGCCAATTAGGACGAAGTTAGGCGCACACTCGTTTGCTTTCACTTATTGTGCGGTCACGAAGTACTTTGATTGACTCAGAACAATGATTAATGCAGTTCAATTCTATTTACGTATTTAATTCCAGAAAACGAAATCAAAAAAGTTTCTTGTTAATAAGGGATGGGAAGGAAGGAAGAAGAACTGAATAGGAAGGGGGAATTATTCTTTTTCTGTCGGTCATCTTTGACGTCTGGGTATTGGTGATTTTCCTATTTTTGGCGAATTCATAGCTTCTAGCTAGTTTGCCACCTTATATTATATTAGCTGTTCCCAGCTTCATCCGCATGATATTATGAAAATATTATTATATTGTTTTTTACATTTGTCAAATTATCAATAGCAAATGTCGAAATGACATGACAAACCTTAACAATCTTGCTTCCTTGATGTTGGCAGCAAATTATGGTCTCTTTCCCACATTAGGGTTTTTATAAATATTTACCCCCTAAGTTTAATGGCGTGAAAATATGTAGCCTAAAGCGTAACGCAAGTTTAGGGCTTTTTATTAAAAAAAGAATTATTCAAAAACATCCTGTAATTGCTGACATCTTAGGCAACAAAGAAGTGTGTGTTTACGCTTTATTATAATAGTATAGATAAAAAAACAAAACAACTAACTAATGTTAAAAATTAAAATTCTATGATTTCGGGACTTAATAAGGAATAGTTGATAATAAGTAAGATATATGGAAATAGGCGGCCATTTTTATAACCTTATTTTTATATTGTTTAAAATGGCGCGAAAATGATTTCTATAAATATGTTTAAGCACTTAGCGTGATGAATGTTTAGTGTGGACGGATTTACTCGCATCTTGTCATCGGTACCTATCTCTGAGACAAGCTGGTAACCCGAGTTTGCTTAACCCCGAAATAGTACCGATATTTATATATTTTTACGCTTCTAAAAATCTTCAAATTAAAAGAAATATTGAAAAATTTGATAAGCAATATTTTAAATTAATGTTTTGTTCTGTAATTCGAATTCTTGCAAAACTGTTGACGTTTAAAAATATAGAGTAGCTTTCGCCGTAACTACGTCCGCGTGGGAATAAAAAAAAAACAAAAGCAACTAGCCCATGTGTTCTTCCAGACTATCCTCTACATATATGCGTAATTTCATCGAGGTCTGTTAAGCAGTTTACGCTCTAAACTCTAACAAACATCCATCCAAACTTTTGCATTTATAATATTAGTATGATAGCTGGAATCTATCATTTTGTCGTTTTACTCGATATGTCATTTTAATAGTATTAAAGTTTCTATGCTAGTTTCTATACAAACAGACACGACGAGTTCTACATGATGTAAATTCTAATCCAAGATGGCCGTTTTAGTGCGTCACTGACAGCCGCTGTCAAACGCGGCGTGATTTACGCGCGAAGTTTTTAACGGCCGAGCAAAGCACTGCATCGTCGCCTTCGATTAACTTTAAACGATATAAATTATCTATGCTTAATGTTTCAATCATCGTTGGACTGATCAGGCTTTTCTGATAAACTTACTGTTTAGTGCAAATACAACCTCTTTGGCTGACAAGAATTATAAATACAGCCAAAGAGGTTGCATATTGGCCGCCAAGACATTTATTAATAAAAAGTGTACAAGAGGTGACATAAGAAGAAAAAAGAACGTAAAAAATGTAGAGATAATAAATTGTATATTTTCTATAAATATCAATAAAGCTGATAAAAACGATGGTGCTAGTTTACATTTATTCACTTACTGTTTGATTTTTGTTGTCAAAACACTAATAAACTGTCCGAATTTGGTATGAGAGCACAACTGCTATGCGATTGTCGATTGTTTGGCAACACAACTAAAAATCGTGTAGTACCTCCATAAAAGCTCATAGGAATCGACGCAAGACTAAACAGTTGTGCGATAGTTTAGTTTCAGGTGTGCGCTCTTAGTAGACATTGAAAATAGGATCAAAACATTGAATTTTCTATTAGCAGACCTATCTGAAAGAAATGAAAAGTTACAAATTGTTGAATGAATAAAAAGCGGAATAAGTAGATAATAGAAAACTGTTAAGGTGACCATAGACTATCGCAACAACAGAAGCCACAAAAAGAAAGCTGCCTTACATTAAAATAGAACCATAGACAAGATAGAGAAGAAAATAGAAGTTGTATGAATAAATGGTTAGGGCCACCCTTAGTCTTCTGTAGATATAAAACAATAGCCCACCACCACCCATAGCCCCACCGACTCTCGGGTCATACGGGCCGAATCGCGGGAGGGGCGCGCGGTTTGGCCAGTTTCGGCTCCGCACGCACCTTCTTGACTCCCTACAAGTTATTTCGTCCGTTGTAGATATAGTCAGGTAACTGGTTAGAAATGACAATCTGTACTTTTCTAGTTCAAATTCTCACCACAACTAACTGCAACAATCAGCGCCAATATGGCGGTAATGAAATAGGCACAAAATACTACTTCTTATAGCCTATTAAAAGGTAAATGGGGCTAGCTAATGCTTCATTCGGTATCAAAAAATTGTCATTAAAACCTTAACCTTTATGTTATTTTATTTAGATTAAACAATCGAAAATACAATGTTTATAAACCTGGTCATGCGAACGGATAATTTTTTGTTTTTTTCTGAGTATTTGTTTCACGTTAAGGAAATATCGGATTTCGCGGTTTTTGCGGTCTTCATTATTTCGAAAGTACACGTTTCCTGGAAGGTAGATTTTTGTGAAACCAAAAGTGTTATATTTTGTTATAATGTTAGTAACCAGGAAGTTTGAAAGTAGCCCCAGTGGTAGAAGGTAAGGTGTAAAAGATTACCATGGTATTGGCATGTTATGAGGAGGGATGAATCGCATGTTAATTCCACGCGGACGGAGTCGCGGGCGATAGCTATTTGTAGACATTCTAACAAGTACGTACCAACATATTACCCCATAACACTTCGCACTATATTTTAAAGCCAGGAATCAAACAAAGAACTTCATCATCATCGTCACCTCCTTATGCTACTCCGGTAGGAAACAAACAAAGAACTTAGTCTCTTTAAAACTGTACACTAATAAGACACTAGGATGGTATAGTTCTTTTCATGTATGGTGGCAGCTAGAGATCATCAGCGCGCTATACAATCTTGTTACGCTCAACATTTAAAGATTGTGTCCAACACGACTCGTGCGAAGTTCAGACTTGTTAAGATGTCTAATATCTATTGTACATAGCAAAGGCAGATCCAGGGGGGGGGGTCATGTTCATGGATCCGCCCTTGGTACATAGTGACAAATTGTGTTTACGTCTGTAACTAATTAGCAAACTATATATAGAATATAAACAGTTAAAAACTATCATGGTACATTTGTCGGCGGACGTTCTGCGTCGCTTGCGGAGATGTATGGCTCGTGCCACTAATTGGCCTCCAATTTTACATGTCATAGCTTGTGAATTATTAGCGTGCAGTCGGAGTTATGTCACCCTGGTACTTGGAAGCAACGCGAGGTTCCAAATGAAGATTGAAGTTATACAAAAACTATTAATTTGTATTGGTTTTTTTTCAAGGAGATTCAGATGGATGTCAAAATTTTTTTTAATTAGTAATTCATGAATAAATTCGCATAGTTGCTAACCTTTTGCTTCTCAATTTCTGCACAAAAAAACAAAAGCAAGTCTTCCAGACTGTACTCTACATCTATGCTAAAATTTCATTCATATCCGTTCAGCCGTTTATACTACAAAATCTAACAAACATCCATCCATTTATCTAAAATTTCGCATTTGCTCGTATAATGTTAGTAAGATTATTTAGATAAAATGTTCAAATGCATAATACCACGACCACACAGAAGAATCGTGAAGGGGGAGCAATTCCGCGTAGTCTAATGAATGTCTGCAGGAGGTCTAATTTTAGTTCCTTTCTAATTCCACATTT